ATCTGCAAAGATATTATAATTGCTATCTTTATTTTGCTAAAATTTAGAACTATGCCCCATATCATATGGGTATTTACAAAAAAAATAAATTAACAATTTATCCTAACATTTTTGTTGAAAACATTTAATTTAAAACCATGTTTTCATTTGGTTATTCTTTTTTATGTGTGCTTGTCCTATTTTAATTGATAGTTAACTGTATTTAAGCATTTATGTCAAGATGTGAAAATCTTGCATTGATGCCAACAGTATAAGGACAGCCTCCCTGATTTTGTCATTTGTATTGATCAGAAATTGGTTTTATACTCTGTCCTAAGCTGGGACAAGAAATTAAATCACTCTATTCACACTACATTGTCAGGCCATTTTCTTAACTAATGTATATTTAAAGAAATTTCTATTTAAGAACACTAAAATAAATGTGTCCGATATTTTATTAAATTGTATTTAGTCTTTTTTTCTCTTGAATAATTTACAGACACATTTAAGGTCAATTATATTATGACCAAGGTCACTATAATCACATTAACCTCTCTACATTTCCTACTGTGTCCACCCATCCTTATCTTCTTGACTTGCAATATCTAGTATGGCCGTATTCATCAACTTTGGTTCAAAATCTTCCCAGTTTCCAATAAAAATAAATAAATAAATAAATAAAACTACATATTTCACAGTGGGAGAGTCTTCAGTTCTACTGAATCCACTCTTGTCCTTCAAAAGTCTCAATACTCAAGTAAGATACGGAAGAGAAACCGCATGGAAATAAAACAGGTGATGGTTAGAGTGATTGTTGTCCCATTCCCCCCTCTCTACAACACCACTTTGTCACCACCCATCTTCCCTTTTTGTTGCCATTTTAGCCACTTTTTTATGAATAAAGGAAGCCTTTCTCTGTATAAAACAAAGACTTTTAATTTGGCTAAAATGACCACATAAAAGGAGCACTACAAATAGCTTTAAAACTAGTACAATACCGAGAGCACTTTTTCTTTTTTAATGTTTGATCACTGAAATTGTACAAAACTCAAACATGTTCGTTGTTTAATTTATTGGAATTTATAAAAAATTTAAAGTTACACGACCTAACCTCCTCCTCGCACATCATCGTATGACAGGATTGACATTACCCGTACACTCCCATATTTTTTTTGCAAAATATGAGATGCTTGCATTGATCCAATAATAAAAATCATTGAAGCTGCATTCCCATGCATTCGTTGTAGTTGCTGTGACAAAATGACAATTAATTCAGGTTATAGACTACAATGCAAAGTCTAGAATGGACAATTGGGCAAGGTGAATTTACTAAATAGACCTATCTAAATTCTGTCTATTATACATTCTAATAACAAATGTAGACAGGACATTTTATTCTTTTAAAATTAAGCCCAAGTAGGGTCTATGACAAGTATAATTGTATTGTGGTGGAGGAAGTATGACAGTATTCCTTAGGAAAGCATTCAGAATCCTCTCCTACATGTAGCTGAATCCCCCAGGTCTTAAATCCAGATAGATATTTTATGCAGTCGTTGTAAGATTTATAGCTTGTATACTGTAGGGAAGCTAAGCTCCCACTGTGTATTATATGTAATGGTTTATCATTTCAGCAGAATGTCACGTAAAATAGGGGGATTTTGGATAGCACATTATTGCTTCTGTGTTTTCATGAACAGTGCATATTAGACATGGGCATTCACTTTTGGACAAAAACATTTTCAACCAAATTTTCAACAATTCAGCAATTTTTCCAAATGACGAATAGAAAAATGCAAATTACAACAAATGAAACAAAAGAACATATTTATTGTTGCATGAAATTTTGCCCATGCAATTCATTCTTTTGTTTAAATCGTTTTAGTTTAAAAGGAGGGAGCTACCAGCCGCTTTCTAAATCCCTCCATAAACCTAGCCAACATGACCCACATATTAGTATAAGAGAGGTTAAATCCTTCCTCCTGTCCCAGACTGCCTCGCTGTGAGTAAGGGCATGTCTTCTTGCCGTCATAAAAAAAAAAAA